CTGCTGATCTGCAATTACAGATAGCACGAGGTGGGTAGCTGACGATAAACAAGTTAAAACACCTTTTCAGACATGATTTTTCCTAAAGAAATGCTACCAAAGGTTCCTAAGTGAGACAGAAGTTCTTACCGATCCATGGTATCATTAGCTTATTTTTGGGCAAAGTAATGCATATGAAGTCAACTATACCCGAAGCCTTGTGCTGACTGCTGACAGTCACTCACAAACACTTGAGACCCGACCTATGACATTTAGGACAACACATTGATTTTTATGTATTAAAAGTAAAACACCAGCCTGTCCTCCAGTTAGCAACTCTAAGGTTGCTGCTGACACAGCACAGACACCAGACTACTGGTAGGATTATACATCATGTCCTCCCACCGGCCTACAGCAGTGAAGACTGATGCCTCAGGTGACCATTAAAACAGGTGCATACTGTGCTTATGACTATAGAAAGAAAGTCACTTTCGACTTTTCCCTTGTAGGGGTCGCCACAGCGAACCGTCACACTGACGACTCGCATGTTGACATTTGGCACGTGTTTTACGCCAGATGCCCTTCCTGACACAACCCTGATTCGAACCCGGGACGCAGCGCCTTAACCACTAGCCTACCAGGAACGGCTTATGACTATAGCAACTGCACAAATTTGCAGTCTCAGTGTCTGTCATAATTAGATTTAGCCTACAGTAATAATTCGCAGCTGTCCATAATAAAAACTAAATAGGGCATTTTCAATAAACTGGAAATACCTTTTCACTGAGAAGACAATGATTCTAGTCTCTTAGAACCCCATATAAAGCTGTTTTATTTATGTGAAATTCATTCTCAATCAGGAGGCAGGTGCCAAGTGCATTATTGTGGTTTAGGAATCACAATGAAGTTATTAGCATTCAAATGCACAGCCATGAGCACCACAGCAGCTGTGATCCTGACACAATCAGATATGGTGTAAATGTTAAAGTAAGGGACTGTTTCAGAGGCTGGAGCTGTACAAGATAAAAGGGCAACATTGAAGAGACTTAGTGTTGTTTGACTCAGGTGTGATAACACATAAGGTGATAAACAATATGGTTTTGAGAGTTTTAGGGCAAAAGCTGACCACTGACACACAGCAGCCACAGTCCAAGTATCTCTGGTACTGGATTCAATTCCACACAAATCTCAGTGGAAGAAACATGAGAGCAGACTGACCAAATCTTTATGAGGAAAGCGCAATTGGTGCTGGATAGAAAAGGGGATTTTCTGTGCCAGAAAAAGTATGTTCTTCTGTGATTTCTGTTGAAGCTTAGCCTCAGGGATAGTATAAGGCTGGGGAAGCTCAGGCACAGCATGAAGAGTAGAACTCAGAGTTAGCTGCTTTTGCTTAGATCCCCAAGGCAAGCATTTGTAAAAGGGACAGCTGTGTCTGCTTTGTTTGAAGTGCAAAGGATTAGGCTGACATATCAGAATAATCAGTGGTAATAACAGGGTGTACTGATGAAACAGCAGCTTGTGTTAATTTGAAATGTAGGGAATAAGTGAACTGGATCAATTGTTTATTGGTGGTTAGATTATTTCACATTTTGAACTGTCTGCAGGATGGGCCTGTATTATAACGTCATTAAAAAAAAAGCAAACAAACAAAAAACTCTGTCCTTATATTGTAAACAGTGAAGCACAGAAAACACAGATGTCATGACTATTGAAGCATCTATTCTATTTTTACTAGCAAACTGTCATATGATAAATCATGGAAGAAGAAATAATTAACTTACTACAGGCCTGCTTGTGCTAGCCTTCATCATCAGGGTTGCTATCTGCAGTACCGTTTGGACACAGAGCTCCCATTCACACTACCATTCGGGCTCATAGCTCATACAGTCATCCTGGACCTAATAACACGTCACTCAGTGACGACACGTGAAAACAGTAAGCTTTGTAAACAAGCGCATAATAACGTACATTTAAAGAAAATCATAATTATAGTCAAGTGCGTAGTTTTATTGGCCCACTATGATATAACAATGTGAAGGGTTGTGTATTATTTAAATGTTTTATGTAGGATATTATTTATGTAACTATTCAATAGAGAAAGATGGGGCTGCTATCCCTAGATAATCAATCTACACCCATTCCATAGATCCAGCTTGTGTGCTACCGGTTAGCGTGACATAGCTGTCACGACAAATTACACTGATGAGATAAAAATGGTCGCCTATTCAATAAACAACGGTTTGCATAAGATGTGTTTTTGTCTTTCCTCTCTTACCAGAGGCTGTGTCTCCCCGTTGACCGAAGGCACTTGGAATCTGTCGATTTCTTCCATCATTTTGGCAAAGCGTTACAGAAACGATGCAGCAGTTTAAGAGAAACGGCTTTAGTCTAAATATGTCTGTTTGTGATGCTCGCTTGTCAGGATCCTTCATTAATCAGCATGATAGCAGTTCGTTTTTCTCCATCCTTACAGAGGTGACTCGACAGCAACACAGCAGTAACGCCCCACTTCCGGGTCTTTGGAATATTCATATAAACCCGTCCAATCACAGAGGAGGTCATACTGAACTATACAGTGCAGCAAATTACTGTATCGAAGGTAACTGAAATTTAAGTATATGATACAGACATTTAGACAAGCCCGTGGTTGTTCTCAGCATGCTTAAATACTGCATTTTCGATTGAAACACCCCATCCCATTTTGTTTGTGTTATCAACCGTTTCACCTTCAACATAGTTTAGTGCAACCTAACATTATTTCCATCCTAGCATATTTCTATACCCC